CGCCCTCGGGGCCCTTGGTGCCTGGCTTTGTCACTTTGTCCTCCCTCAAGGACTCGCTGGCTCTTCCTGCAGCTCTTGGTTCGTTCCTGCCTTCCAAGCGTGCGCTTCACCTGCCTCTGCAGCAACCGAGGGGAGCCGGTGCCACGCCGTCCTGAAAAACCCAAAGCTCTCCTGGCAGCGTGTCCTGTGTGTGCTTTTAAAACAGCATCTGTCTGAGAGCTGAGACGGCCTGTTCCCGATGAAGGAAGCGGGCTGATAAAGCTTATCGCCTTGGCCCGAGCTCTTCCAACTCTCCTGCATTAGTCTGAGCGCTGGTGCCACGGGAGAGGCTGCAGAGATAGTGCAGGGCCAGGCCCTCTCTGGGCAGGATGCTGCGGGGAGGACACAGGCCTGCCCTGCATCGGGCTCCCCACCCGATTAATGCACAGTGAATGCATAAACCCAAACCCACCAGTGGAAAAACCCTAGGTGAGATTTTCTTTTTATCCCCTTTCCAGCTGGGAAAGATGGGGATGCATCACCAGGAGGTAAGGAGAGCAGAACTGTGAAAACTGAAATGACACAGAATGAAAGCAAATAGTCCCCTATTTGAGGATGTGTGCCTTTTTAAAAAACAATGTTAAAAGTGTACTAAGTTCCTGTCTATACTCAAGACAGCAAGGGCTCTAAGTGCAGTGGACCCCTTTCAAGATGTGTGCCTACTTGCCTGAGCTGTGCTGGTTTTGTGGACATGCTCCCAGCACATGTTCTCAGTCTGCACTGTGCAATTGCACCTGTTCTCACCCTACTGCTTGGACATACCTTATCTGAGAGTAGCAAAGGACTATCTGCTGTAGGATCACTGGGTTTGGATTTGGGGTTGGGTTTTTTTTTTTTGTTGTGTGTTTGGTTTGGTGGTTTTTTGCTTGTTTGTTTTTGGGTAGTTTTTTGGTGGCTTTTTTGCCCTTTTTTGTGAGACCTTGGTAAGATAAAAAGAATATGCATTTTCTGTTGGGGAAGAGTATCTTGCATAATTTGTATACACACACAGACAGATGTATATATGTATGATTTCATACAGCTGAATTCTCTAAATAGGAAGTTTATTCTCTTTTTCTTGTTGCCACTGGATTCAAGGAGAGGTATTTACTGAAATGCTTAGCATAATAGCTGGGGAAGAAGAGTTATCCTTAAATGAAACTATGAGGTGGCAGGTTCAGAAGAAGGTACCTCTTCACACAACAGATCCTGGAAGTTACTGCTACAGGACATCAGGAAGCAGTTTAAAGAGCAATTAAACATGATCATGGAAGAAAAATCTGTGCAGGGATGTTCAGCACGAACAGCTCTGATTCAGGAACTCTTTGAGGTGCAAATCCTCATCCTGCGGAAGCATTTTGGGGAGCAGCCTTCCCTGTGCTCAAGCTGTCATTAGGCAATTCCTGCTGGCTGCTCTGGAGATAGTCCTGGACTGGACTTGAAGTGCTGCTGTTTGACCCAGCACAGTCATCCCTGCATTAAACTGTCATTTCTCTCCAGGTGGGTTTTCTTTTCCCACAGTCCTTAGTAAGTCATAGACAGCAATTCTTGCAATAAATCTTTGTGACACAGAAATGCTCTTTTTTATGTTCTATACCTCTCTTGTTCTTTCCTGCCTGTTGCTTCAGTTGAGGGATGGAAGGTTGCTTCACTGTGTGTTTGTACAACACCACATTATCAAGCTGAGCACTGGTTCGTGCCTGTATTTCCTAGTTAATTATTTGATATAAATAAATATTAATAATCTCTATTTCTGAAGGTGGCCACAGGCCAAAAGGCTTGCTGCTTGTTTAAACACTCAAAGTAAGAAACTGTGGAGCTCCAGTCCTCGTGTGCTGGCAGAACGAGACAGATGGGCCATTTGAGAAAGTGATTAAAATACCAGCAATACCTGCCTAAATAGTTACAAATTCCACACTCCACATCTGCAAGGGCTTGTATTTATTATCTAGGGCACAGGACCAGGCCTTGTGAGCCTGCAGACACTGAAGGGTGAGAGCAAGGATGAGGTGCCCGTGCTGTAGGGGGGCTGAGTGATGCCAGCCCCCCATCTCTGCCCTGAGCTGCCTGAGCCTGGCTCAGGGCCCATGGGCAGCTCCTGTTCCAGCCTTGCTGCTGGAAGGAGGTGGATTGCCACCCACTCTTTCTGTTGAAGAGTCAGTTTAGGCATATCATTATTTGCAGTGGTTTTTTTTTTAAAAACAAGACAAATTCTAGGGCTCAGGAGTGGAAGTGCCCTGAGATCACATGGAGAAAAGGAGCATGCTCATCCCAAGGTACTGAACAATATTCAGGCACGAGTCTTCTGAAAAAGATTCCTGTCAAGGCTGGAGAACCTCTATAGACTCTCATGTGCTTTTCTAAACATAGTGGAAATGCAGTGTGTCAGTCATAAGGCAGGAGGGAATTACCTGAGGGAAGGCCATTTCCCTAATGAGAAGTGAAAAGAGGACCTGTTTCTGCTGAGGAGAATCCTTGCCATATGGATTGGATTTTATAGCAGTGTATGGCTCTTGGGTTGGAGGCACAAATTCCCACATGTACAAGGGTCCAGCTGTGGATGGATGTGGGCAAAAGCCAAGCAGTAGAGCTGTTGTTCTTCCTGTTTGTCTCACCTGTGTTCCCATTGCTCTGCTGATTGATGGCGGGTCAGTGAGAGGCTGCATATGGAATGGGAGACAGCAGCTGCTTGCAGAGATTGACCATGCAAGCCCATCCTGCTGAGAAGTCATGTTTCTTTTATATGACTGCTATCTCTGTTGCTGATAACCATGCAGATTGTGGTTTTAGCAGCCCCTCAGAGATAGCTGTTTCATGAGGATGAGGAGTTCTTCAAAAGCTGCTTAAACATGAAACTTCCTTGGGCTGCGTATAGTGCTTTTCTCCAGAAGTGATTTAGCATATACTGTAAATAAAGACAGTAAAACTAAATTTATTCTTTAGTTGGAGGACACAGGCCTGGAAGGGGTGGAATAAGGAGCTCAGTCCCACAGAACCAGCAACAGGGATTGGGCTTCAGCCCAAAAAAAGGGCTACAGAACAATTATTCCACCCGCCCCACACTCAACATACATTTATACCACATTGTCTGCACTGCCATAGCAACCGTCTGTACTTCCCAGTAACTTTTTAATGAACCTCAGACTGGTAGTAGGTGTCCAAAAGTCCCAAGTCTGAAGTCACACAGGAAGAATGGAGAGGTCAGGGGCACTGGCACTGCGTCCCTGTGGCTGATGGGTTTTCCAGTCTCAAGTCCCACGCTGCTGTGGCACCTCCTAAGCTCATGCAAAGTTCTCAGAGTACTAGGGAAGAGCTCTCTCGAGTCCTGTGAGTTTCAGCTCATGACTTAGATTCCCTTTTAGTTTTCCTTCAGTTCATCCAGTCCATTCCCACAGACACTACTAAAGCCCTATATTGTCTGCAAGGTTGGGCAGCTCCTGCAGCCCAGATACAGGGTGTAGGTTGATCCCATGGAGCAGTTCTGTAGGGACTGCAAGTCACCCGTGACTGGGATGGCAGGAGATCTTGTGTCTCAATAGTGTTTGGAGAGCAGCAATGTTTTCTTGGAGTGGGGCAGTAGCTGAGACTCTTTGGAAGAGGAAATCAAATTGCCTAAAGGTACAGAGGTGGTGCCACACAGGCATAAGGAAAAAAAAAAAAAAAAGAAACTTTTTTTTTTAAATTTTCCAGGAGAATGACTTATTTTTATTCACTGGTATGTCTCCAGACAGTGCTGATTTATAGGCATATATATAACATTTTCATTCAGTCTGTGTTTTCCACTAACCAGAACTGGACAGTGCCTATCATTTGGGCAGTTATATACATGAAAATACATGAATTTGAATTTTTAATTTTTACACTTTAGTAAATTATATTTTTACTCCTTATTTGGTGTGCCAAATCTGCCAGGGGACCTCAGGCACAAGCACTGTGCTGTAAGAAGAAGAATGTTGGCAGAGGTGGCTCCCCAGCCCCATGGAGAGCATGGGGATCAGGTAAACCCATGCTGGAGCTTTCTCTTAGTTCTTAACCTTTGGCCATGTGAGGGTTTGGGCAGGCAACTTGCAAGGTTGGTCACCCTGGAGTAACCTCACTTCTCCAGCCTCAGGACATTCACTTGCCTGTGCTGCCCAGCAGAGAGCCCAGGGCCAGCTGTCACCTGTCAGGCACAACTCCTGCACCCTTTGGCACCCCTAGCTCCCTGCCCACTTGTCAGCTTGTCCCTGCTGCACCACTCTAACGCTGCTCTGTGCAAATGTTTTGGGGCAGGTGGAAGGAAATGCAGCAGAACCTGCCCAACCACTGATCTGTCTACTAGCAAGATGCCCTCTCTGGATCAGTGCAGTGCAATTTTATTGGCATAGGAGCCTGTCTGGCTCCTAAGTAAATTCTGTTGCCACTGCTATCTTTAAGTTAGAGCAAACTTAAATAATTCCCACTACTCAGCTGAAGGAATGTGACTGCCAGGCTGACTGCAGAGCCCAATCGTGTCCTTTCACCAAGAGTCACTTGCAAAAGGTGTCTTGGGAATGGCCATTATAATATTTTTCTTTTAAACTTAGGTACACCTTATCCATGTGAAGAAATATTTTTCATCAAATAAGCATTCCTGGTGCCCATGCTGCTGTTATCATTAAACAAATATTTCATTTAGGGGGTATGGAAACAGATTTATGAGGTTTTTTATCAAACACAACCATTAGCTGTTGACAAAAGAACACAGATTGCACCATATTTTAGGGTTAAGAGAATTGGCTCTCCTATTCTAATATATTCTCCAAATTTATTGCAAGGTAATTTTTGCCTTGCAATAAATTGTAGTAATATTTTCATGCTACTTTTTTTTTCTTAAATACAGATTTTGAAGTGTGGGTATTATTTACAGGCTTGGATGTATTTGTGAATTCTAGTGATGTAAAAATGGCACTCATATGAATGATGCTAGAGGAAAAATATCTACATGTAAGTTTTCACAAAACTTTCCACAGGTGCCCTCCACCCATACTGCAGCAGGTGGGGGTGAAATCCCAATTAGCTGAACCACCTTAGGCTGATCTTGTAGTCTCTTGACAATTTCCACAACATAAAAATCCAAACAAACTCTTCACACTCTACATTTAAAAAAGAAAAGGTGATATGAAGTCAGGAGCCTGTCTTTATACATATAACCAAACTTTGCTTTCTTTTCTCTACTTGTGAGTTGTTCATATCACTTTAGGTAGGTGAGGACAGGGACTCTCTGAACAACACTTTTAATGTTATGTGAAGATTAGCAGTCATGTACATACTTTGGAATTTCTCTTCAGAGTGTTCTTGACCTTTCATAAACCAATTTTACTGAATTATTGCAATTGGTATAAATAATTAATTTTTCTTACAACAATTTAAGAATAAAAATAATGTCACAGATAATTTAAATACTACAACTCAACACCCTCTAATTAAAATTTTCAGCCAATAAAACACAAGGTAGAAATGGCAGAAATTAAAGTCTTCCGGTTGACAATTGTTCCTTGGATAATTCCTAAAATAAATATTAAAGTTAGCATTCAGTGGCTTGAATCTTTTTGCAAATATCCACACCAATCCTCCTAGTGATGCTAAGTCTCTTGTAAAGGTATAAGAGGACATCCAGTAATGAGTAATCCCTAAAACTGATATTTAATATTCCACTAAAGAAGCTAACATATTTACAGTTCTCACATGCCACACCTTAATGTCTTTTTTATTTATTTTAAACCAGATAAAATAAGCCATAATAAGACTGATTTATTTGAAGTCATGATAAGAGTCTCCATTCTCAGGAAAACAAAACCATTGTAATAAAGCCCTGGTCCCATTGACTTCAACATCTAAACCAAATTTTCGCTGCCAGCCTTTGACTCCTATCTAGTGTGTCACCAAAAGAAGCAGAGCAATTGTTCTCAAATACTAGCAAGCAGATGGGGTGAGCATGGAAGATTCTAGTTTCAGAGAGGTGATATCTATTAGGATACTTGTAGGAATTAATGATAAATGAAACACAGAGCACAGTATGTTGAATTACTGTGACATGAACCCCGGAGTTTACAGAGGAACAGTTCACCTTTAGAACATGCTAGCCCAATTCTGACCTCAAACCATCTGACTGTAGACATTCAGTTTAACACATTCAAACCTGTTGATCCTCTAACAACCGAGTGGATTTGTTGGTGGTTACATCTCACTGCTTCTGATTTTTAGCCACCCACAGAGAGGGTGACACCTTCCAAGGGAGCTTTTCCATCCAAGCAAGATCTGCCCTGATTATCACTGAGTAGTTCTAGCCCAGGATGGGTGGAAGGCAGGGCTGCCTTTGAGGTCACATATCTAGGTGGTCCAGGGAGGTCCAGTGGACCCTTTTGAGGGTATGGGGTGTGGCTCAAGTCCTTGAGTGGTGTCATTCCTGATATCACTCTCAGACTGGGATCTACCCTGCTAGGTCAGCACATGTGGCAGACAACACTCGGATGACCCTTAGGAACAGTAGCCTTTGCTTCATTGCCTGCTGAGGCACCTGTGTGAGACTCTGTCAGGGCTGAAGAGGCAGATGTGCTGATAGTTTTGCTGTTGGTAATTTCTCAGCTCCCTGTCAGCCCCCAGGCCCATCCTAGCTGGTTCTGTCTGTTCCATCTGCTCTGGGCAAAGGGGAGAGGGTAGCTGCTGGCAACCCTGCAGTAGCAGGCACATCAATCTCCTTGATTGTCTCTCTAAAGATTATCCTAATCCTCTGTTGCCCATTAGAACCATTTTGGTCCAAGCCCAATGGTAGAATTTTATTACCATTTCAGTTTTCAGGTTTTTGATTTTTACCCTAAACTATGGAAAACTTGGTTTTTGGTACCTTGCCAGGTTGCATCAGTAAGCCTGGCACTGGTCTCCTGGTCACTGCCACAGCTGTACATTTAGGGAAGCCCAGTCCCTAAGCCTGCAGAGATCTGGAGAGAAATATTATACAACCCAAAGTGTGTGATAAGCAGTATGGATGCCAGAAAGAGCTTTACACTGAATAACCTCTGCATGACAAATGCTAAAGTAATGTCTGCTACGTCAACCACCCACGGCCATGGTGCAGACTGTGGGCAACAAATATGTGGGTGTGCAAGCCTACCTTTGAGAGAAGGCTCTAATCTCAGGTAAAGGTGCTTTGCTTAGTGTTATCAGTGACATCTGGTGGCGACAGACAGTAAAGTAATTTCAAACCTTTTTAAAGGTTGTGTAGGAGTTTGAATGGCTCATCCCAAATGAAGTATTTTTGACAAAGATGTACTCCCCAAAGTGTATTTCTTTCTGACAAAACCACATGGTGACCATGCTCCATGCCAGGAGCAAACACTAAGCAGATCTGTATATAGCATGGGATCTTTTGGTGGTGAGAAACACTGGGACCAAGGGAGCCACCAAAATGTGTAATGTGCCTGAAAAGCAGTTGATAAACACCTGATCTTTGTTACTGTTAGCTGCATAGAGCCTTGTAAGTATTCCAGATCTCACAGCCCTTCTGAATCAATGAGCATGGCAGCAATTCAGCAGCTGTGGGTAGGGGACCAGTGTCAGCTAAGGCAGGGAGGATCATGAGTGCTGCTGGGGGTCAAGTGGTGAGAGGGCTGGACTGAGACATCACAGAGGCTCCCACAGCCCCTGTGGGGACTGCCAGGGAGAAGCTGAGCACTTATCTGGACCCTATTTCTGTCTTCCCAGCCCCTTCTTGGGCTGGACACCTTTTGTAGAGGACAGCATTTCTCAGCAACATAGTCCTTAGCAGAAAGCAGCAGAACCAGTGCACATGGAGACACATCTTCCTTAATTTTGCACTTAACCTCATGGTGTAAATTGAAGACTTTTTTTTTGTTTCAATACCTTCTGTGAGGAAAAGTTCCTTTCTCATTTTGGCCCAGTTTTGCATCAGAAGCTTTGTTCATACAGGAGACTTGTTTTGACAGTGGCTGGGGAATTTGCACCTCTCCTTTTCCTATTTGCATGGCCACATGTACTCTTCTTTCTTCTTGGGTGAAAAATGGAGAGGGTTATCTCTTCAGAAAAGCACCTTCTCACTCCCTGTGTGCACCTCACTTGCTGCTCTTCTGAATTCAGCTCTGAAAAGCAAAAGTGCAGGACTTTGCTGTGATTTTTAAACTTGACAATTCAGTAAGGTAAGCATTATCCAATAAATGAACAGTGAAATGAAACAAAACCCAAAACTTAAAACACCACTGAAATCATATATGAGGCATCTGTGCATGTTGTAATGTCACATTCTCTGTAATGTGTTCTGCTCTTCTGAAAATGGTTCTTGAGAGGACATTTCACACTGCAGATTTCTGAAGCCAGCCATTGAAACTTTCAAGTTTCATCTCACCTTGAAGAACAAACAGTTCTTGAAGCAGTTAACTTTGATAAGGCAAGTGCAAAAAAGGACAAAGATAGGATATCAGCTATACTGAAAATGTGTCTTTCTTTTCATGGCCTGTTCCTCCTGAGAAGCAGTGACAAAATAAAGACCTCTAGATCTGTTAGGTTGGGAGAATGATCCTCTCCTTTAAGCCTGCCAAGAAAGGTTCTTGAAATCTCAGCACATCTGTAACAAAATGTGCTTGAATCAGATGTTTAACATTGGGATTTAAGTCTGGATTGTGAGTGTTGTAATTTTGAATTTCTGGAAGGCATTCCTGTAGAAAAACGCTTCATTAACACGTTGAACTGTCAGCAACTCTCTGTGTTTCCACAGATATATTCACATATCAAATTCAATAATTTGGCCCAGAAGCCCCAGTTGGTGACATCCCCAGTCCCTTCTCATACCTGTGGAGCTGTCTGTGTGCTCTGGTGACTCCTCAGCCAAGGCACAGGCAGGGAAGGCAATGTCTCCCTCAAATATTTCCATGCAGTTGTTTATGAGGAACTCCACCAACACTGTCACCTGCACACACAAAACAGCCCATTTCAGTCAAGACAGATTGAAGATTCTTTCCCCACCCTGCCTGCTATCTTTGTAGGAAGGACAGCACAGAGCACAGTGGCTTCTGCCAAAATCCTGTCTTGAGGTCTAAGGCTGAGTCCCCATGGGGGATAAGGCCCAATGCTGCAAACAATACAGACAAAACACCATCAGCCACAGCTTTGGCCTCTCTGCCTGAGGGCCCAGGGGTGACAATGGCCACGGGTGCCCCTGGCCCTCCCCATGCAAAGGCTGCAGGAGCTGTGCTGTGACTGTGGGGGCTGCAGGGCAGCTGCTGCTTTGCTGAGCACCCCCAAGGCCCAGGGGCGCTGCTGTGTTCAGCTGCTGCCATGGCCGTGGGATGGATCCCTATGGATGGCTCTCAATTGCCCCGAGGGAGCGGCTGCTCGGTGAGTCCAGCGCACCTTGTTGTTCATCTCCTTCTGCACTTCCAGCGGGAGCGCGCTGGCTGTGCCTGGGCTCAGCAGATTTGGGCCAATGCAGATGGCCAGGTTGCAGGAGTCCATCCTGTTGGTCTCAGCATTTTGGCTGATGTGGTGGAGCAGAGAGAGCAAGAGCTTGAGCAAGACGAGGTTTGGTCTCGGCAGCTTGTCAGCCACCCTGCGGGAACACAAACAAAATGTCACGTTAGTTGATGGTGCAGTGGCCTCTGCTTCTTGATTTGAGCAAGTCTCAATTAAACTTAGAGTGATACCACTTCCTCCAGAAAGGGGCATGTGTGTGCTCTCTGTATCTTTCAGAAATCCCCATCTGCAGCTGAGTGTGGGGTTAATTAGGAGACCTTGAATTACAAGGTCTTGACTGAAAGGCAACACTGAACAACACATGTCCTGGAATAGATGGAATGATGCCAAGAGATGTCACTGGAGGCTTCCCAAAGCCTGTGGTTGTGCTGTGGGGCTTTCAAAGCACTCCCTGTCAGCCCCCACAGCTCCTGTTCCTGAAGAGCAAAACACGGTGGTGGTCTCCATGTGCCCAAGCTCACCCCCAGCAGATGTGGAGGCCCCGTGTCAGTGTCTGTCCCACAGCACCGGGACTGTGTTAGCTGAGGCACTGCAGCCTCTGCCCTGTTCCTGCGATGTTCTTTTTTACGGCAGCCACCAGCAGGATCTGCCCTGGACAAAATGGAGTGTCTGACAAGGCTGTTTTCCCATTCTCACCAGTTAGAGGCTCTTTGAGAGTGTTACAAAGTATTCAGAGACACTTAGATAAAGCAGAACACTGTAAGCCAGAAATGCATGGAGCCAGGGGATAGGAACATGGAGAGGGATAGGGACATCCTCTTCAGAAACCTATGTGCTGCCACCACTAAGTCTAAAACCAAAAAGTCATTCAGATCTTCAAGAGGCTTTAGAAAAAGAGACTGTTGATCCATCACCTCAGAGCTGAGGAGACACAGAAAGGCAGGTATGTGGTTGGATGTAGGTCTTGGCTTCCAGGGGGCTGCTGCTCCCCATCTATGGGTCTGGCACACAGCCCTGACTGCGTGTGGGGCTGCACAGCCAGGCATGGGTGCTACAGGATGCCTGGCTGCTGCAGAAGTTGTCAGCTGCAGGTTCTTTTGAGCATTGAGGAAACTTGCCCGCCTGGATATGTCAGCTGGAAGGAAACAGTTTGGACTTTGTGTTTGATAAGAAGTCTGCCTCCTCTACAGTGTGGATTTGATAAGAAGCCTTTCACTTTCTCACAGGGCTTCTCCTCCAGTTTGGCTGGGCACTCATCATGGCACAGGGGAGGCCGCGGGGGTTTCCAGTTCCTGCTCCCTGCTCGGAGCCGCAGCATCCTCCATCGGGTGAGTGAGGTGGGCACGGGGAGCAGAGGGAGGCCAGAGGAGCGGGCGCTGCAGGCGCTAGAGGGCAGGACAGCCCGCAGCAATCCGCATGGAGAAACGGGCGCGGAGACATTAGGAACGTCACCTATTGCACATGGCACACCTGCACTGTGACACCCGTCTGAACTTCCCTCCTCTGCTGAACCCCAATGGTGTCGATCCCTTCGAAAATCTGGCCATACTTTAACGTCAGGAACCAAAACTTAGGGTCACCCTACACTGCCCACAGTACAAGCACAGACTCAGAATGGTTTGGATTAGAAGGGACCTTTAAAGATCATCTAGTCCAATGCCCCTGACAAGTCCACATGTCCTCCACTCAGTCCACACCACAGTTGTGGGTTCCAGGGCTTTTTAACTGCAGCTGCTGAATATTTCCACACCACACCCCACCCCAGCTTTCAAAAAGTTCAGCAGAGCTGTTTCAGCCTGTCCTTTGAGATTGGAGGAAAAAACACATTATGCTGCCTATATTCAAGCATCTTTTTGGATGTCCCAGTAAGTAGCCCTTGTCACCTTCTTGCCAGAATTTGGTGTTTTAGCCTTCTGTCACCATTATGAGATGATTCAGCTGAAGGTGGGAGAAATTGTGCGCCACAGATCCAGCACACTTTGTGAGAGTGAAGCAGAGGCTTCAGCACACAGATTGGCAAGATGCTGAATTTCTGGGTTTTTGTTTGTGGTTGTCACAGAAATCTTCCTGCAATATTCATGAAGAAAAAGGATGTGGCTAAATTAAACCACTGAAAACCAGAAGTTGTTCTCTGGAGCAAATCTTTCAAAAAGTTTGTATCCCACATGGGCTGCAAAATAAAGCTGGGAAAATTTTCAGAAGAGCTCAAGCTCCTGGGTGCTTTGAAAATGCGTCCAGGAATGTTGTCCATGTGGAAATAGTTCCACAGTCCAGTGGAAATGACAGGACACCCCTTCTTTCTACTGCTTAACTTCTGAAATCAAATACACAGACTCAAACCCCAATTCCATGTAGAGCAACCTTTATAAAAACAAATTAAACACTCAACAGCCATCTGCAAAATGCATGCTGTACCTCAAAAAGCACAGATTATCATGGGTTTATTACCCAACCCTGTGCAGGGATCAGCCTTGTTCTGTTTTCACACTGCATTAAACTCATCTAGTCTGCAGTCCCAGAGCTGCCACTGGTGATTCATTTCCTCCAGCATCTCTGGCTGCTTTCCCAGGAGCAGAGCTCCCGGCACAGACCCTTGACACTGCTCCTTCCCCAGTCCCCAGCTAAGTAGCTGCCTGCATTAAACACCAGCATTTTCTCCGCATGGCGACCTGGAGGGACAGCTCAGCAAGCTTTATGCAATGCACTTGCAGCAGTGTTTCCAGAAGGAATGCATTCCTGCTGTCTCACTGCTCAGGATTCACCAGCAACTCCTCTGGTGTTGTCCTTTGGCCTCAAGGGACAAATTCTGCCTCATCCCATGCTGCCTGATGCCAGATTCTCTCCAGACCATGGGACTGCTTTTGCAAGCATCTCTTGCCAGTCAGGGCTGGAAATAAGAAAAGGATGCAGATGTGCCTCTTTTCCAGTGCATATGTGCTTCTTTTTCTTCAAGATACAGTTCCTGAGCAGAGTTGTGGAACATCCTGGCATATGCAGATCCAAATCATTTGCAGTGCCTGACCTATGTGCAGCAGTCTTGGATATGATCCATGACACACCTCCACCTAGTTAGCTGACCTGAACAGGAAAGTCCATCTGGGGATTATATGAGCTCTGGACTTGGACATAAACACCAGAAGAGTCCTTCAAGAGCAACTGGAGAGCTGAGCAAACCAACCCAGGCACAGAGGTTGCCTCAGCCATGCTACAAGGTGCCAGCCACCAGCTCTGCAGGGAACATTTCCCCAGGGGTAAAGTGTTCATGTGGCCCAGGGCAAGAGTCAGGCACTCTCTGTTGCTAAATCTCCTTCCAGCAGAGACCTTCTGGGCTGCAGAGGCACACCCCTGCCCCCAGCACACATGTGGAGTAAGATACTCCTTCACTGCACGGTCCCTGCCAAGGACTCAGCAGATCCCACTTCCCAGCCCTCAGAGCAAACAGCACACAAAGGAGAGGCTGCACCTCTCTTTTAATAGAAGCTCAGGGAAAGCAGGATTATGGTGTTTGTCTTCCCAAGCTCCCATTACATGAGCTGAGGCTGTCCTTCCCAGGGTACAGTTGGACATCTGCCTGCTGATGGGAAGCGGGGAATTAATTCCTCTTTCTGCTTTGGTCACATGCACAGCTTTTGCTTTTTTTATTAAACTGTCTTTGACCCTTCAGGTGTTTTTTAACCTTATTTTGTCCAGTTGAGGAGGGGAGGTGAGAAAGCATCCAGGTGGGTGTCTGGGAACCAGCCAAGATCAACCCACCAGTCCTTTTCCTTGGGCACGAGATAAAGCCAGTTTTGATCTGGGTGTACTGTAGCTGCCGTAGGTGATAACTGGCGGGGTTCTGCATGGCACACAGGGTTCGCTTGATTTACAGTGTAACAGAGCCTCGGGCTCAGCAGTGGCTGCTTTCAGCTCCTCCTGCTGCAGTGCTTATCTCTGGGTTTCACCATGCCTGGGAGCATTCTGATAAAGCACAGCCCTGCCTTGGCCCTGGCACCGGCACTGCTTCTGTGCCAGGAGGGCTGTCCCGTGGAGAGCTGCAGGATCACACCTCTCTCTTCCCCTCTGGGACTGATGTGCCTGCCTTCCTCTCCAGAGCTCCTCACCACATCCTTATCTAGGCTGCTTGACTAATGTCATCTTCTTGTCATTTGCATAGAAACTACTTTTGGTCTGGTGTTACAGGGAACCAGTTTGCCAGTGAGGTGACAAGGCTTTGGGCCACCGATCCCTGGGTGCCTTCATGGTGTGTGGCAGGACTTGGTGGCTGCCTGGCAGTGTTATCCCCTCACATAGCCTGTGATCTTGCACCTCTACAGGCATGTTGAGCTGGCACTTGATGGAAGGGTGTCTTGCCTGCTCCAGTGAAACCCAGCAGCCCTTGGCACTACACTGGGGCTTTCCTTGTGCTTCTTGAACCCCCCTTCAGCACCATCAGGGGAACGTGGTCGAGACAGGGATCTAAACCACATGTGGCAACACTTAGCAGTCAAAACGAATCATTGGATGCAGAGGTCAATGGGTCCATACCAGCAATTAGTACAGGAGCAGGAGGAGGAAGGATCTGATCAGGCAGCTGATCCTTCAGCAAGGCAAAAAGAGGAGGAAGTGAGAGAAATGACCGGCTCTGAAACTTGGGCAGACTTCAAAATATGTGGAAACATTACAGCCACCAGTCTGGCAAGCAGATTGCTGCCACTAGCACTGAAGAGGGCATCCAGTATGTGAGACTACTAGCAGTGCTGGAAAGTCCCTACGGTGACCTGGACGACAACCATGTCTCCAAAGATGCAGATGGCGTACATGAGAAAGGGCAGAAGGGTTGTCTGAAATTCACCAGCATTATATTCCATCTGCCTGGAGACAATGGACTGAACAGGCTTGAATATATGAGCTGTGAAGAGAGTGTCCCACTGACTCTGACTTTTGCAGGAAACTTTTCTCTTCTGTCCCCACAGGTCAGGGCCTTGGCCATCAGGGGCACTCAGACACATGCTGTGTGCCACTCTGGTTCCTCCTGAGTGACCTCACAAGGAGGTGGGATGGTGACCCTCCTCTGAGTTAGGAGCCCATGTACACAAGTTGGCTGGGAAGAGAGATAATAAGGAGGGCCATCCATGAGTGCTGTCAGTTCAGCTGCTGTTGAGATGGTGGAAGGCAACCAGCAGTCTCCCTGGCACA